CGGAGAGGATCGTGTGCCTCCAGGTGTTTTTACGAGAGTATCTTCGACGCTTATCCTGTATAGCTTTTAATATTGATTGCGTTCATTGCGTTATCCTTAATCTTGCAAGTTTATGGAAATTTAACATTGATTGTATTTCACGAGATTTTTACGCTCTCTAAATCTTTTCGAGTGAAAATTGAGAAGTCTTGGAAAAAGAAAACTTTTTTCACTCTTAAAACAAGAGTGGAAGATTTTCACTTTCTATTTTGGCGTAAGATTTTACGCTTTTGGAGTGAGATATTCACTCAAAAGGAATGAAATCTCATTCCTTTTGTTTGAAGTAAGACTTTATTCCCCTTAGAGTGAAAGAATGAAATCTCACTCCTCTCTAAAGAGAGCAAAAATATTCTCACTCCAAAAGATTTAGAGAGCGGAAGGAACGATTTTGTCGACGTAGTTAAAAAAGATAGATACTGATCTGAAAAATAATTTAGTTCATCAAAATAATTATGTAGGAAAATCAAGCATGATGAGCAAAATGCTGCAAAATTTCTTATATTTTTACCTTAACAAAACCATGTACTATTGTAGCTTATACGTAGGATTCTCTATTCTTTTTTCAAAATGAAATTTATTGTCAAAAATTGATAAAAGTAATTTTGATACTAGAGTTATACCCATAAAGACGTCGATCCTTTTTCGCATCAACTATCGATATTTGCTGATATCTCACTGAAGCTGATATCTCAATGAACGGTTTAGAAGTTATAGCTCTTCAAAGTTGCAGAATCGTGAAGTTGGCCCCCCCGTAATTTCAAATGTTGTTTTCGATGCTTTAATCAATAGAACTCTTCCTAAATTTGATAGAGAACTCTAGAACTCTTCGGGGGCAACCAGAACTCTGCTTATTTTTTCAAAATTTTGACAATGAGGGGCCAGCTTCACAGACGTGAATTAATGGGTTTTGCATTAGTGCAATCGATGTGAAATTGAAGTTATTATTCGTGCGACAAACGCTTTCACGTCTAGCTTTGTGCAAGTCCGAGAATTACACGCGGCCTTTCAGAATCCGTCGTTGACGTACGTTTCACGGGAATCAACATGTTCTCTGTTGGATACGTCGATCGCGAGACGGCCATTCAAGGAAAATCTATGCGGATCCAGTATACGAATCAATGACTCCCACGTGTCGCTCCATACATATCGCGAGTAGACAGGCCGCTCGAGTCGATAGACAGTTCGCTTTTCCATATTGTAAACACGGTTTTTCTCCGCATTCGTTCTCGATCTTTTCCAAACAAAAATGTATATCGTCTAACGTCATTTATTTCTAAGCAGACGCGATGCCATGTGATGGAATTCCGATCGTAATCTTCGAGGCTAATTTGGGCGAAGTTAATGTTCGAAATATTTAACTTTGAGGATGAGAAACGTTTTGTAAAGAAGAACAGCTTGCAATGAATTTTCGTTCAAGAATAGATCCTTATTGAAAACTAATAGAACACGGAAAAACACAATTTTGCTGAGATACTTAAAAATTTAGCTTCTAGATTGAATCTTAAAATCTTAAAATGATTTTATTGAATCATCAAAATAATTACTAGATATCGGATATTTTATGCAAATATTTTTTATAGACATGCACAAATATGCAAATATGCACAATATACACAGATAAATATGCATTTTTAGATTGTTTTTGTAATAAGACAAAAATTTCGAAATTTCTATATTTTGACATTACTTTTTAATCTGTTTTTTAAAAAATATGCATAATTCGATGTTTAATATGATTACGTAGGATCTCAAGCATGATAAACAACGTTATAAAAAGTTTTAACATTCAAATAACCAGTTTGAGCGCTCTACATAATTATTTTGATGATCCAACAAGATTATTTTCAGATCTGTATCTAGCTAAATTTCTAGGTATTACAGCAAAATTATCCAATTCCATAAAGATATGTTGAATCTGTAACATCACATACATAACTGATACATCATGGAAAGAATGATTTTGTTGATGTATTTAAAAAAATTAATTAGTTGAAAATAATTTTATTAATTTATCATGATAATTATGTAGAAAAATTTGATGATAATGCTGCGAAAAGTTTTAACGTTCAGTTTTACATTATTATTTTGATGATCCAAGCAAAATTATTTTCAGATCTCTATTTGTTGAATTTTTAGATTCTAACTTATTTTTTTTTATCTACATACCGGTGTTTCTATTCGATTGAACGCACTAAGATGCACACTGATTATACATATTCAAACTGTACACTGATCTTATCTGATTATAAGTAAAGGTGAAATATCTGAAATGATGACATATTGGGGTATGTTAAGTTAGCACCCCAACTATAATACTCAGGAGTACTGATTAGAGTTCCCACTTCCTTTTGACGAGACGAAGAGTTCCCTATAGTTAATAACAAGAGTTCCGCTCAATAAACATTTTTTTTACCATTTTTTAAAAATGGGGTGCTAACTTTTTATCGAATTTCCAGGTGGAATAGTTCTGAGCGGCTTAATAGCTTCAATTTGCGATTGCCTAGAGTTCCTGATATGTAAAAAAATTTTTCGAATTAAAAAAAAAATTAAAAATTTTTGAAAAATTAATTTTTAGATACAATAATTCTGATGATAATTTCTGCTTCTTTTTGACGATACGAAGAGTTCTCTATGATTTTTGACATATGCGCTTAATAATCATTTTTTAATAATTTTTTAAAAATGGGGTGCTAACTTTTTAACGAAATTCAAGGTCGCATAGTTCTGATCAGCTTAACAGAAGTATTTTGTGAATACCTAGAGTTCTTCATACATATAAAAAACATTTTCGAAGAATAATAAAGTTTAAAAAAAATAGTAGTAATCTTTGAAAATTTTTTTTATAGTACCGAGTAGTTTTGAGTTGCGTTTCTTATAGTACTTGACGAATTCTATCGAAAACTGTAAGGTGAAAAAGCGATTGGACCAATGGTTTGTAAGATATAGCGACAAAAAATTTTTGACCTAAATTTTTTGGAAGTACCGAGTAGTTCTGATCGGAGTTCTGGACAGTCCTCGACGAGTTCTGTCGAAAAGTATCAGGGTTCAAAGCGATTGGACCAACGGTTTCCGAGATATATACTCACTTTAAAAATTGTTGATCTTCTGACAAATGTCGCTGTATCTTGCAAACCATTGGTCAAATCGCTTTTCCACCTTACAGTTTTCGATAGAACTCGTCGAGTACTATAAGAAACGCAACTCAGAACTACTCGGTACTCTCAAAAAAATTTTCAAAGATTTCTACTATTTTTTTTAAACTTTATTATTCTCCAAAAATGTTTTTTATGTATCAAGAACTCTAGGTATTCACAAAATACTTCTGATAAGCTGATCAGAACTATGCGACCTTGAATTTCGTTAAAAAGTTAGCACCCCATTTTTAAAAAATTATTAAAAAATGATTATTAAGCGTATATGTCATTAAAAATTATAGAGAACTCTTCGTATCGTCAAAAAGAAGCAGAAATTATCATCAGAACTATTGTATCTAAAAATTAATTTTTTTTTTAATATTCGAAAATTTTTTTTACTTATCAGGAACTCTAGGCACTCGCAAATTGAAGCTATTAAGCCGCTCAGAACTATTCCACCTCGAAATTCGATAAAAAGTTAGCATCCCATTTTTAAAAAATGTAAAAAAAATGTTTATTGAGCGGAACTCTTGTTATAGGGAACTCTTCGTCTCGTCAAAAGGAAGTGGGAACTCTAATCAGAACTCCCGAGTACTATAGTTGGGGTGCTAACTTAACATACCCGAAATATTGTGATAAATAGCACAGTAAAGTATATTAAGAATTTTTTGCGGTCTAATCCGTTTATATATTTCTATTTAAACATACGTCTTTATGTTGATTTGTATACGACAGCTTTAATGTGCACCAGTGTGCACTAGTGCGTCTAACCGAAATCGCTATTAGGCAAGATGTCTTGCGAGAGGTTCTGCCTTTTCCCAATGCGTAAATATTTGTACAACGATGCTATTAGAATCCACAGAGACGCACGATCGCCCCCACACACCCAATTTCTAGACGTTAATGAACGCTTGAAAGAGTAATCGACCTCGTATATTAAATTGGATCAGAGATTCTCTTACATATTATTATATGTATATATGATAAAAATATCTGACCTTTTGGCTCCGCGAATTCATTTCATCAGTATTCAAATAATCGTTAATATTCTGGAGTTTTGCTTATCATTTTGCACGTGTCTTTTTTTAAATCTCAATTATTTTGAAGGTCGTCTTTATATTATTATTTATTTTATATTTATATTTATTAAATTGAGTTAATTTATTATTTTGCAATGTGATTTTTAGAAATAGTTTGGAAAATAATTGTCTATCGAGTTTTCCTGATGGACGTTCGAACTCTTGGAGAAGCCGATGTTGTAACGCGTAAATACAATTTTAAGTGAAATTCGATAATATGGAGTAAGCTTCTGCAAAACTTCGATCCATTTCGTATTATAGCGAGAGAACTTCCATAACATCTACTATAAATCTTTCCAGCATTTAAAAACTGTCACCTGCACGTTCAACTCAACCACTAGATATCCCCCTAGGTACGCCCATTTTGCACGCCAAATTCGTTTTCGCGGTTTCCTTCAATTTGTTCGCGTCAAATTATGGGATTCTTGGCATTTCTGTATAATTTCAACTAGGACACCTTAAAGCGGATCCTTCATTCCTGCGTTTAAATAGTTTGAACCGAACACATAATTTTCGTATACACATAAAATATATATTCAATGTTTAATTTAAAAAAAGTTAAAATTTATTCACAATAATTTTTAAATGATTTATTTGCATTATTTTAAAATCCTATTATGAGAAGTGTATCTTTTGCAGCAATCGTTGTTATTTAAAATAATACCAATTTATTTCTTTGATAAGTTTTATTATTAATTCGATGTGTAGATCACAGGCAAATTTTAATGTTTTCCTTTTTATGTTACAGAATTGCCAGCTGAGGAGGGTGAGTACCAACGAACTTTCGTCTTTAGACGTCGCTTGACGTAGAAAACAGGTTTGCGACAGATTGGCATACAAATTACTTTTGATGTAGCAAGCAAGTTTGTAAATCGGGAACTCATCTTTTTTTCCTTATTTTTCCATCGTGCCGTGACTTTGTCAGTTTCGAATTAGATATATGCTATAATTTATAATTTATAAGTTTCCGAATTTCTCTTGTCACCTGTCTCAACATACGTCGGTCTCTTGCGGGGAAGATTTTCGTTACGTGTTTACTGTCAAAGTAGGTCAGCACACTTGCTCTTGGAATTCCATAAGCTTTGAGAATTAGAACCACTACGTTGCATGTGCACTTACAAATGTGACACATCGCCATCGATTTGATTTACCGCTCGCAAAATCGCTTCTTTGGAGAATCTTCAGGATTATTCAGAAATTTTACAATTTTACAATTAATTAATCAAAGTAAAAAAGATATGAATGACAAATGTTCATGTAATGGGTATACTCATTTTTTATGTATAGAAAAATAAAATACAAAAAATATGATAAACGCGGAATATAGGAAACTAAATATTCAACACTTTTTATGATAAATGCTTTTTATATTCGAGCTCTTTGAACGTAACGTCAAGCATAGGTCTTTCTAGCTTGCATTTTCTCGTTGTTTTTTGATCGCTTTGATAAATGTCTCTTTCTAACTTTATATATTTTTCTCCTATAATTAAAAATCTGTAAATAATAAATCTAATCTGATACAATAACAAAAAATCTCCAATAAAATGTTCTTTTTTCGAGACTTATCTACCAATGAAAGGATTATAGAAATTCATCAGATATACTGTTTTTAAAAAGTAACTAAAATTGAAAATTTATGCTTTCCGTATAAAAATAAATACGTTGTATACATATAAGAAATGGTTTAATAAGGTCAATAATTGTGTTTAACAATATAATTTTATAGTTTAGTGTAAATAAAAATTTTCTCATTTCATTTTAATTATTTTTAAAAAATATGTTTATACTTCTTATTCAAATAATTTTTGATCCAAGTACTAAATCGCTGCCAATGTATATTTAACTTTTTGTATATAACTTTTTAATAACTTGTAATTTTGTTCAGTTTGTTACAAAATACGTACAATCCTTAAGTGAAATAATAGCAAAGCTAAAGTATTTGGTAAAATGTCCTACACACCTATATGTACATAAAATAACGTAACTGCAGAAGGAAATGTCTATTACACGATTGTCATGAGGGACTTGCAGAATTCAAGGAATACCCGGGCCACTTGTCCCATTTTGTCGAAAGACGTCAGCGCGTAGCGCCGTACGTCGCCTTCGACTCGGCCGTAATTGCATCGGCATTGCACTCGACCCGCGCAGAGACTCGCGCTATCTTTCCGTCGCGTCGACCTTCGGCAATGAATCGACCCGCCGTAGTTGCAGCTCTCGTTCGTCGTTATCGTTCGTCACGCGGTATATAACTAGAACAAAATAAAAAAGAGAGAATCGGAGAGAAAAATTTTCACATTTTCCGAAAATGCGTACCAGATTACATCAAACTGCAGAAATTGACTTCGATAAGCCGGAGTTGAATTGGTTTGAAAGCGTGACAGCTCTGACGATTAGATCGATTGCAGGCGTGGAATTTGTATCGCTACGTATGCATATGTAATGCACTTCAATATACAATATACTCGTAATAGATTCTGCTGAAAAGCAATTACGTGAAAATTAGATCGACCCTGTCGCGTGCTATTAAAACGCGAAGCTTAATACGTTAATCAGTGAGAGCGATCCTATAAATAATGTTTTCGGCTTTATCGAAGATAAGTAGACGATAAGATATAGACAACGGCGTTATTGAATTAATATCGTGAAAGCAATATATCCAAATTCCACTGAGTTCTTCGACTTATTCTAATAACGCAGAAGTGAAGTTCTTTTTACTTTACAATGAGAGACGTGCCTTTCATTAAGAGTATGACTTTTTGCGAAACTTATACGGAAGCAATTTTCTTTACACACAAGTGAATAGAACCATAAATGTCATTCCTTTATAAAATTGCCATCACTTGAATTAGTGATCTTAATTTTGTAGTAATAAGCATTACATGACAAATTTGACTATTTAAAAAATTATATTTAATGTTTTTTGCACCGAGAAAAATTTTCGGTATTTGAAGCGCTATTATTATGTATTATCATAATTATTACTGTTGTTAAAATGTTAATAGCAGGTCATCGATACTGACGTACCACTTTATTTTTGGACAGTATTTTTTAAACAAAAGCTGAAAATAAAAACAAATACAAATTAGTAAATATCTTTTACCAAATAAAATAGCAAATTTTATAATACTGTTTGCAAAAAAAAAGGAATATATGGCATTACTGTGTCAATTTTAGGGTACATTTTATCATAATTGCAATAATTAACTTTTTTATCAGATAAGCCAAAATAAGCGTCTGACAAAATGGGTCCTAAAACTGATACAGTAATGTTACATATTCCTATTTTTTTTCTTTCACAGGAATTATCTGTACAAAATATTTGCAAGTGAATGTATATTTTTTATTGGTTTATAATTTATATGCATACTTTATGCTTTTCTTGGTGCTGCACTAGGATTTAAAATGATTTAGAAAACAGTCACTATTATTTAAATTATATTATTTCAATTACACAATTTGCAAAAGAAAATCGTAAGAATTTTATTTTTGCACTTGTAGAACTTGTGTTTAACTGAGTTTGTATAGAAACAAATACATATATGAATGATGACTATTATGTTTTTCTTCTTCAATTATCTATAAACAAATCATGTATTTATCACTATTAACAAAATGCAATAGTTAGTTTCTCTGAGAAATAGGAGAGTGTCTCATGAGGAGATCTATGTCAGTATCGGCGATCTGCCTTTAATAACTATTGTATAAATATCTATTAATAAATATATGTTATATATATAGTTGTTACCGAAAATGATACCAAATTATAGTTATTACCATAAAAATAGTTGAATTTGCTACAAATTATGGTAACGTGTAATAATAGTCATCATAAACTTTCATTGTGGCTATAGCAAATTGCAGTGATCTTTGCCGAAGCCTATACTTTCTTGATGGATTTGAACGATGAGTAAGATCGAGCAGTTAAAATAAAAGAAAAGGGAGTACATAATAGGCGCACTACTTCTTCCTTGGACTGGGTCGAAGTCAGACACAATATTTTATCGTTTCACCGTTATTATCGCACTTTATATAATCCTGAAACGCGTCGGAGGAGAGCGCGATCAAGGTCGTATTAATGAGATTCCTGTCGTAAATTAATCGCGCGGCCGGTTACGAACGCACAACTGCCTGTAATCGTTGCCGCGCTCCGTCCGTCACACATGTGCACGCGGTCTCTCTGTGCACGCCACGCTCTATCGGCCGATTGACAACGTCTATTGTCACACGTTGAATCCGGTAATGAAGCATGTTGCACGTATATGCACGTGGGTGAGAGAGTAAGGAGAGTAGAGGGGAACTTGGAGAAATGTGCGCTGGCCCGCAGCACTATACAGCACGTCATATCACGATATTAATTTCCGAGATGCGGCGGAATGTGTACTGTGATATTACGTACGATTTATGTAACGAAATGCATACGTGTAACGTGTTTGCGTTACACCGGAAGGCATATACCATGCATTAAAAGTGATTTATAATACAATATTAATGCAATTAATTAACGTGTATAGGAACTATAATGCATATATAATTTACATAATTAGCATAATTAATGATGATTAGGATTGCGGAGTTTATGACTTAATTGATTAAGAATATCTTTGACTGAATTTTACTAATATACTTAATAATAATAATTTTTATTTTGTGCTTAGAGAGCTATTTAAATTTGAATTTTATGGATCTTGTTTAATTGAACGTTAAATATTATTGGTATTTTGAGTCAATTATGCCAATGCAACATCATGCAGATGTTTCAATTTCAAATATTTAGTTAATACAAAAGTGCATAACTCGTTAATTTGTTTTTATCCTTATTATTATTATTATTCGATTACGAATAAATTTTAATGTAAAGACGCGGCTATTTCTGCTTATTACTTATCGTTTGGTTAGACATTTGAAAAAATCCTTGAAAATTATGTATAAATTATTTCTTTATTACTATATATATCTTTCCTCTGACTAGCGAATTATTTGATACAATTTGTAACTTCTATTGATATACATTTTATTTATTATCACTGAATCTTTGTTAGAAATCTGCTATTGCTATATTATTGTAAAAACGATTAGTTTATCATTGAACCTTTGTTACTTCGTTGTTTGCAATTTCCAAACATAAAATTCGTTATGTCGTTAAAGAAGAAGAAAGAACATGTGATCTAATTCGCTAAAAGGAAAATGGTGTGAGAAAAATGGGGAGAAATGGAATGGAGAAAGGGAGTCATACTTGTATAATTGCTAGATAATCGAATTTTCGCCGTCTCTTTGATAGTTGCTGTAAATTACAATTAATGAAATCATCAAGCGTAGAGCAATGACGTCAATCGCATGCAGGCAAAAGGCGCCAGTCATCAAGGACGCCCAGGGCTTGCCCCTGACTAGTTTATAATTTTTATCCTTTCCTGACGCATATTCTAGAACGTGTCTTCGACACACGTGTGTCCGACTCACACAAATAAGACCTGCTTACAAAAAATTTTCCTTATGATATCAAATTAGCTTTTCGTGTATACGAAGTGTATATGTTGCGCTCTCTCTCTTTCTCTTTCTCTCTCTCAATTAAACTAGAATCTTTAGATTAACATTCCACGTTGGATTGACAGATATCACATTGAAAATGCAATTTACTAATTTTTTTAACTGCTTTAGTAAATTGAATTAAAAATGAAATAACTTTATAATTACTGCATAAAAAATAATGCTTGATCTGAAGTTACAACGTTTATGACATTAAAATTTATGTGAAATATATTTATTATTCAATATATTTTTTATTGTAGTACAAGATGAGAAACACATACCTAACAGTTTTTCTTATATTTGTACCATACAATAAATCTTTTTACTTAATGAAAATCATAAAACCATTGTGGTATTATTTTATGGTAAAATTATAAAAAAAAATTGTTACAAAATGTATTTTCCTGAGACAAAGCCGCTCTGTCAATGAGACGTACTATTTGCGAACGCACGTTATGTTACTAGTAATAATGCAAGGTCACGTAACAATGAAGTTGTTGACAATTGTATTAAATATTGATTTTATCTTTGTATACTATATTATATACTATATTTAACATAGATGTTTTTAATATAAATCTGCTTTTTATTAAGAATTAGCATCGATATATTCATATTACAATATGTTAAATTGAGTATTCGTATTATTTTTACTTCATCTTTAAAAGATTAAGTATAAGCTGAGATAGAGTTCTACAATTTATAATTTTTTTTTATAATTTTATGCCAGTTTGTCGCAATAATTATCATGTCAGGTGTTATAATAATATTAAAACTATTTATAAAATTAAATTTTAAATGTAAAAATTATGAGACATTGTATACTTAAAAATTTACATTTTCTTTAAATAAATCTTCATGTGTTATGCAAAATTGTTGACAATACTTGATTTATTTTTCGCTTACAGGAAAATCCATCTGGCAACTCGTCCTGGAACAGTTCGATGACCTTCTAGTTAAGATTCTTCTATTAGCTGCTATTATTTCTTTTGTAAGTATAAGTCGTCACAGATATATTAAAAAATTATAAATAATATTTTATTTAAAGAGAGTTTAAATTTTAAATTGTATACGGAAGTTTACGTAACAAATAAACTACTTTTAAAATGAATATATTTTTAAAAAAGAGAGTACAATTTTTAAAAAATGTAAATTAACTCTGTTAAATATATACAGTTGATATTGTTATTAGCAATTACGATTCATAAACTAAAGAGTTTTATGATTCAATTTTTTACAGAAACTATAATGATATATATACGTTAAAAGATATTCTTTCTTGTCGAATTTCCCGGTGCATATTGCTTTGTTATAAGCACCGTAATTATATGTTTACGGGGGTTCAAGGGTAAATGAGGCTAAATATATCTTTTATGAGAGGTGAAAAAATAGCATATTGATTTCAAGTAGCTGTGGTGATCTGATTTTCTCTGAGCGCATAAGAGAAATGTGTAACATTCACTATGGAGTTTGATCTATACATTATGGAAATTAAGTGTGTAGTTTATCACTACATTAGGTGTAACAGCTTACAGAGAAAAGAAATTTTTCGGCAACGTATATCTTAGAAAATTTATCTTTGATTTTCTAACATGTATTTACATATATATATTTTTTTTTCTAACATATATTAGCTGACATCGCTGTGGTAGCGGAGAAAGAAAATTGTTTAATATTTAAAAAATAATTTTTAAGTATATTTTCTCTTTTTCTGAAAGTTCTCTCATTTTCTATGGAGTTTTAATTAGTTGTAGCTACACTGTTATTTAAAAACAACTTGTGAACAAATAGTGCAATTATTCAATAATTTGTTGAGAAACATAGATTTATACTCTTTATTCACTATTTTTCAAGTCTCTCTGATCTAGTATCTATTTCTCGTCAGGTATTAGCCTTATTTGAAGAGCACGAGGATGCGTTCACGGCCTTCGTCGAACCCTTTGTCATCCTGCTTATCCTTATCGCCAATGCCGTCGTCGGTGTCTGGCAAGAACGAAATGCCGAGTCTGCGATCGAGGCGCTCAAGGAATACGAACCCGAGATGGGTAAAGTTGTACGAGGGGACAAATCTGGCGTTCAGAGGATTCGGGCCAAAGAGATCGTGCCCGGCGATATTGTAGAGGTGTCAGTCGGTGACAAAATCCCAGCAGATATCCGTCTGTCCAAAATCTTCTCGACTACTCTCAGGATCGATCAGTCCATTCTAACTGGGGAATCGGTGTCCGTGATCAAGCACACCGACCCTGTGCCCGACCCACGCGCTGTCAATCAGGTAAAGCAACTGTATAAAAACATTTCCGATACTTTTTCTAACACTATCTCTCAAGTATCAATAGTATAGCTTTAAAAGTTTATATTCGAAAAAAATTGTAAATATATAAAAACTTTTATTCATGAGGTTTTCAAAAAAAAAGTATATATGATCGCTTAATCATGTAACTTTTGATAACGTTTGTTTATAAATTTTGTTTTGCTATTTCTTTAGGATAAGAAGAACATCTTGTTCTCTGGTACCAATGTCGCCGCTGGAAAGGCTCGTGGTATCGTTATTGGAACCGGCTTAAACACGGCCATCGGTAAGATCCGTACGGAAATGTCGGAGACCGAGGAAATCAAGACACCATTGCAGCAGAAATTGGACGAGTTCGGCGAACAATTGTCGAAAGTTATCTCCGTAATTTGTGTTGCTGTATGGGCCATCAATATTGGCCACTTTAACGATCCGGCTCACGGTGGTTCCTGGATTAAGGGTGCCATTTACTATTTCAAAATTGCTGTCGCTCTCGCCGTAGCTGCTATTCCTGAAGGCTTGCCCGCTGTAATCACAACTTGCTTGGCTCTGGGCACCAGGCGTATGGCCAAAAAGAACGCCATTGTACGATCTTTGCCGTCCGTAGAGACTCTAGGTTGTACGTCCGTCATTTGCTCCGATAAAACTGGCACTCTGACGACTAACCAGATGTCCGTTAGCCGGTAAGATGATTAAGCAAACAGGATTATATATTATGACATAGATTTCACTTACAAATTTTGTATAAATAACACGAGAGAAAAATAAGAAAATTTCTTTTATATATATATATCTATATATATTTAAATAAAAATATTAGTTTATAATTTTTTGCATATTTTAATATTTATAGAATGTTCATCTTTGACAAGATTGAGGGTATTGATAGCAGCTTCCATGAATTCGAAATCACCGGCTCGACTTATGAACCCATCGGTGAAATTTTCTTGAGAGGTCAGAAAATTAAAGGACAAGATTATGAAACATTGCACGAGCTCAGTACAATTTGCATTATGTGCAACGATTCTGCTATCGATTTTAACGAGTTCAAACAGGCATTCGAGAAGGTCGGTGAGGCTACAGAGACTGCTTTGATCGTTCTCGCTGAGAAAATCAATCCGTTTGGTGTCCCGAAAAGCGGTTTAGATCGCCGAGCTGGCGCTATTGTCGTCAGGCAGGATATGGAAACAAAGTGGAAGAAGGAATTCACGCTAGAGTTCTCTCGTGATCGCAAGTCCATGTCATCGTACTGCGTGCCTCTGAAATCATCGAAATTAGGAACTGGACCGAAATTATTTGTCAAGGGTGCGCCAGAAGGTGTATTGGACAGGTGCACACATTGCCGCGTCGGTGGTCAAAAGGTTCCTCTGACTTCGACCCTGAAAAATCGCATTCTGGATTTGACCCGCCAATACGGAACTGGTAGGGATACCTTGCGCTGCCTTGCTCTTGCTACCGCTGATCATCCGATGAAGCCTGACGATATGGATCTGGGCGACTCCACTAAATTCTACACATACGAAAAGGATCTCACATTTATAGGTGTAGTGGGTATGCTCGATCCACCTCGCAAAGAAGTATTTGATTCGATTGCTAGGTGCCGTGCCGCTGGCATTCGCGTAATCGTTATCACCGGCGATAATAAGGCCACTGCCGAAGCCATTTGCCGACGTATTGGAGTCTTCGGTGAGGAGGAAGACACTACCGGCAAGTCGTATTCCGGACGTGAATTTGATGATCTGCCGACATCGGAACAGAAAGCGGCTTGCGCCAGAGCTCGCCTCTTCTCTCGTGTAGAACCGGCCCATAAGTCAAAGATCGTGGAATTCTTACAAAGCATGAATGAAATTTCTGCTATGGTAAGTCACACTGTTGTGCATATTCATTATCATCATAAATGATGCATTGAGTCTTGACCTTCTGGAAAGAAATCGTTCTAGATCTTAACCCCCTCTTGATTTTGTTACAGTTGAATTTTTTTTATGAAAAGAGTTTGTGAACCGTTTGTTTAATTTTTAAAAGAACAATGGGACTATGATTTATTTATCCCCAATTAGCTTATGATTTATTATATATTTTGAATACTTTGTTTCTATCACAGTAAAATATTTTTCCACTCAAAATTTTTAATATTATACGCAAGATAACAATTCTTGACATCGAACTTTGAAGCCGAATTTTCTGTTTGACAAGCAATTATTCTAGACAGCACTGAACCATTAAATATCCTATTATTTTGGTTCATCATGTTACTTCTACAGACTGGTGACGGTGTGAATGATGCTCCCGCTTTGAAGAAGGCTGAGATCGGTATCGCTATGGGTTCTGGTACTGCAGTCGCGAAATCGGCTTCGGAGATGGTGTTGGCAGACGACAATTTCTCTTCCATCGTAGCTGCTGTAGAGGAAGGTCGTGCCATCTATAATAACATGAAACAATTTATCCGTTACCTCATTTCTTCCAACATTGGCGAAGTTGTCAGGTATTTACGAAATATATGAGTATAATGCGAAGTTAAGATTGAATTAATATCCGTGTTTTGTATGTTACTTTACAGTATATTCTTGACCGCCGCCCTTGGTCTTCCCGAAGCACTAATTCCGGTTCAACTTCTGTGGGTTAACTTAGTCACTGATGGTCTTCCAGCTACTGCTCTCGGTTTCAATCCACCTGATTTGGACATTATGAGCAAGGTAATGTAACAATTAAAGAGATACACTATTATGTCATCAAATGCAAGCTTTATTGACTCATGTGTAATTTTATAGCCTCCTCGCAAGGCTGACGAATCCTTGATTTCTGGATGGTTGTTTTTCCGTTACTTGGCTATTGGTGGATATGTAGGCGCTGCCACCGTCGGTTCAGCTGCTTGGTGGTTCATGTACAGTCCAAATGGTCCTCAAATGAACTACTATCAAGTTGTAAGTTTTGACAAGAATTTGGATTGTTTATATTCAAAATTAGCTAAAGATTTGGATGATTAAGCTCTAATTAATATCCATTATTTGCACAATACAGACTCACCACTTGGCATGTGTTGGCGGTGGAAGCGAATTTAAAGGTATTAATTGCAAGATCTTTGCTGATCCTCATCCCATGACTATGGCTCTCTCTGTATTAGTCACCATTGAAATGTTAAATGCCATGAACAGGTGAGAAAATACTCATAACATAATTAGATTTCGCTCGTTTTTTGCAATGCAAAGTATAAAGAGAAATGGTGTAAGTCTAGCAGTAGAGATTTTTTTTTTATTAATAGTTTACAATATTATTAAGAAGTGACGTCGAGTGGCTCACCGCTCTGTGCGATTGACTCGCGATCTGTAGACCCGAGTTCAAATCCCACGTGCGCCCAAACGCGATTTTTCGCGTTTAATGAGCCAAAAAATGGCTCCATCTGGTGATCAAAAGCTCTATGATCATCAGTGCCGTTCAGATTCGGCGTTAAACTGTAGGTCAAGTAACATTTACTGTTGCTACATGTGTTTACTGTTGAACGTTGCAGTAACGCAAAGTATTATAGTTCCAGAATATAAATTTCCCAGTGACAATATTATTAAGAAACATAAAATAAAAATATAAAAAATATATAAAAGTATAAAAATATCGAACGTTTCGGAATTCACAGGTCCTTCTTCAGCGATTCATAAAGATGTCAACGAGATAAACGCATAATCTTACGGTCAAAGCGACATGGTGTGATATTGTGCTGGTATGACAATTTGTTTAAAAGAGAAACGATTCTCCTATTTTTGTATGAATGTGGAAATTATGTAAAATGTATGAAAACAGTCTGATTCTGTTAAGCGCAAATGTTACGATTATCGTCAAATTGTCATACCAGCATAATATCACACCATGTCGCTTTGATCGTAAGATGCGTTTATCTTGTCATCGAAACATCTTTATGAATCGCTGAAGAAGGACCTGTGAGTTTCGAAACGATCGATATTTTTATACTTTTAGATATTTTTTATTTTTTTATTTTATGTTTCTTAATAATATTGTAAACTATTCATTAAAAAAATCTTATTACTGCTTGATCTAGATCGTTTTTCTTTATACTCGTAACATATTTTGTATAAGAATTATTACAGAGAATTGTAATAAATCTATATTTCTCTATAGCTTGTCTGAGAATCAGTCGCTCATCACCATGCCGCCTTGGTCCAACATGTGGCTCATTGCATCCATGGCTCTTTCTTTCACACTCCATTTCGTCATCTTGTACGTCGATGTTCTTTCGGTAAGTAGATATTTACATCAAGATTACTGAATGGCTAAAAAATTTTACTATTTCAATTTAAAGAGCAAAAATTGTAAGTACTGTTAACTGTTTTGTTTCAGTCCGTATTCCAAGTGACCCCACTAACGGGTGAAGAATGGGTTACCGTTATGAAGTTCTCCATTCCAGTGGTACTTCTCGACGAAACCTTGAAGTTCATTGCCAGAAAGATCACAGACGGTGAGAATCCAATTTACACCGTGCATTGGATCGTTCTAATGTGGGCTGTGTTCTTTGGACTGTTGCATATCTGTCCCATATAGAACGTCCGTGAAATAATAATATTAGTCTAGCAGATGATGTTTTTTTCCTATGGAAAAGCATCCGCGACTAAATCCTTGGACTCGCAATTGCATTTAACCGAAGCTCTTCCTACCGTGACGCGGGAAGGCGCGAGATAAGTTATTAACAGAGTGCGTTCAAGTGAGATTTTAACAAATTTGACTGTTGTGCATGGTGTTAGTACGATCATGTAAAATATGCCACCAAGGCCCACCATGTCCGCATCACACACCGTACCCTGACGTCGCTCAACGATCACGGGTTTCGAGTGGCATCGAGTGATCTAAGAGAGACCCCGTCGTAAATCAAAGATTGTGATCGTTAAATTATTTTCTACGAGTGCCTTTTGAACATTGAATTTCCTCTGCAACAAACACGAAAACTGTTCATAGATGTTCTTTCCGATATAGATATTTCCGATATGTTCAACGTCCCAATCCTCCTCCTTTTTTGCACTATTATTTATACTTTTTTTTTAATCTTATGCACGTTTCGATATAATTAGCAACAGATACATTATCTGGTAATTGTAGCAGATCCCGACAATGCACTAACACAGTTAAAATTCACATTAATTTACAAATGTCTTCCATCTGTGTTTCTTGCTGATTAATAATGTTACAACATGAACTTTTATATCTTTGCATGTTCGAAGCGTATTATTGATCTTGATCGATTTGAAAAGTACAAAGTAGTTCACCCGTTAACCATATCGGGGATAGTAACTTCAGTTTCGGCGCAAATAAATGTATTTGCGACGTATCATTTTTGTGGAATAATACGCACGTTTACACAACGAAGACAATAAAATATTCGGCAGAAACACAGATTGAACGGACAACAGTAGTAGTAGTAATAGTAGTAGTATTATACTTGTATCCTGATTTTATTTTCAGGCTCAGTTTAATGCACGCACGCAACAAATTAGCACAACATTCGGTTAACGCGATTAATGTTTAATCTCACTAAATCTGTTTACATTTCTTTTCTGTTGCTTTAAATGTTGCTTGTTATAAATATTTATTAATGAATTCTTAGCATCTGGTGTACCCGTTTCTACTCTGAAGTCAGAACTGGAGCTGTCTGAGCGTTTGCTGAAATTTCAAGGAAATGCGAGGACTTCGCACTAACGGATCTCATTTTGTATCCTGCATACCGTGTCTTCCTTCCCATAGAGATAATGCATGCACGGTATAATTAACAGCACGTTTTGTAAGATCCTTTCTTATAATCTATTCTTTTCTCAATTATACTGACCTCTGCTGTGCCATGCGATCAATCGATTAATTTAACTTCGCGCGTCCTTCACATTCATGTTAAGACATATTCTTAACATTCAAGCGAAACAGAAAAGTTTATTTTTACCACATGATTTTGCGAGTTATTCTCTTATTGAGATTTTTCGTCTGTACTGAATGCAATAAATGTGAAATAAGATTTTGTAAATATCTACATAATTAATATATTTTTAGATTAGAGATAGATAATAGAATTATCAAACAAGAGTGTCACAAAATTAGTGAGGATCATCGCAATTGGCACAGCAGGATTTCTTCTAATATTTCTATGTTACGCGAACACAACATCCCTATGTGTGTGTATAATCCGTATGTGTGATTTATGCATTTGAAAGGTTTACGCAATGCAACAGATTCGCGTATCGCTAATTCCGGATATGGACTGCAAAGGCTCGTAAGTGTATGATAAGGCAATCGTTAAGCAGAGGAAAAACAGTTGATTTCATTACCTCTCTCGTACGCTCGAAACTGACGGGGCAGTCCATAGACTTTCTAGTGCATTCGTTCATGTCAATATCTGAGCAGTGTTCCGAACGCAAATACACTCATCGTCGGGATTGATTATCCGTTTTTATCAATGATATTGAATTACAATTAATTACAGAATCAATTAAACGACGCGTACATTTTAAAAAAATAAATTTGTCCTTGATAATGATATTTAGTAATAGCTAGGCGCATCTATTTTTTATTCCTTGCTCCTAAAAATCTTTTCATATTTAATATCTTTTTCAAATGCGTAAAAGAATCCTCATTTACTTTTGATATAGTTCTTAAATAAATTATTTAAAATATTTAAAAAATATTTAAGACATGCGTAAATAATCTAATTTGTAAAATTAAGATATTAAAATCGAAAGAGTTGATTTTTTCAGCAATGAAGAGACATGAGAGTTGCATGTTAAACGCATAGTAAAAGAAAATTTGACTAGCTTTTTTAGGCTTTTCCTTGTATAAAATTTCTTTCAAGATCAGCGATAATTCTGCTTCATTGAAAACCATAATAGTTTTATTAATAAAAAGTTATTCATTTCATATAAGTTACGAGTTTTCTCATTTTCTCATTTTTAATGTCTTAGATGATCGTCGGTTCTTGGAATTTTGAGAGTAAACTTAGTCCCCCTAATTAGTCAAGGAATTTTCGATTGAGTGAACGCGAATTCGGTCACTGCCACATAACGAAACGAATAATCGGTGTCGTCACGAGTACGTGGGCCTTCGAAACATCTGGCTGCTTAGTCAGTTCATCCCTTGGAGCGTATCCTGTCGGCGGAAGCAACTGCTAATCAAGGAAGGAAGACTGAAATCGATAAAGTGCTAATAAAGACGGCAACTTCTCGATTCTTTCTTTCCCTTTGCTGACGTAAATCACTCTTACGAAACGATATTTCTATCTTCGCCTGCTACATTCGATTAGAAAAGAAAGTAATCGACGAAAGAGCCAAGAGCAGTATCGTGTCGTAAATGGTGAATTTAAGTGGTTCACTTCCACATTGACAGCACACGATCCAAGGTTTCATCCAGATCTTCGCAGAGATCGCCGTAATTCGGCCGTTCGCGATTCAGCGCGCGAGACGCAGCGCACGAGACGCTTCTCCGCAAACACGTGCAAACGCAACAAGACTGACGATGTGTTCCGGAGAGGAGCGGACGCGTCCGCTGCGTTTTCTTTTTTTTTTCTTCTTCGGCACGCGACGCATAATAATTTAATTGCGCCGCATCTGGCGATTCAGGAATCGGCCGCGGTAGCGCGGCGCGACATTGTAATATAATTAATTAATTAGTTAACGGTTAAGGCGTGATACTTTGGTATGGGCATAATTAAAACTTAATCAGACCGAACGAGTTAGAGCTGCCGCACTAACGAACTTGTGTCTCGAGTAGTGTTTTGTTCCGCAGTTTAATTTTTAGCACGAGATAAACTACCGGCTTTGCGTCCTCTGCGATCGATACCTGTGGAATATTTGTCCTCAACGTCACTTGAAGGAAAATCCATTTATGTGAATGAATTCTACAATTTGCAGCGGGATAAAAGTCATTGAGAAGCGTACGCGATATTTAATTATCACTCGCGAAAGGGATCTATTTCTCATAAAAATGTTGACCCTAATCAATATTCGGATTGGATATTTTTTTAACTGCACTGTGAAAATTGTTTCAATAAATGATTTTCACAACCTTACATAATTTTAAGCATTACAATCTTGTTACTCGGGTTTTAATCTTTAATCTGAACAAAAAATCGTTCAATTGCATTCAGTTTTAAGCAAAGATACATAAAGTATACCCACGAATATCAATTCAATAAATTTCAGAGCGAATATCGATTAAGGAACGACTGCGATTTTTATATTCTCCGAACCCCGAGGCATCCTGTGTAATACTTGCCATTATCATGTTTACCCGGCGTAGCGTAGAACAATGGATGATGTGGTCATTCAGATGTTCAGGCGCACGAGTAATTGGCACGTGTTATCGGAGTACAGGTACGAGCGCGTGGATCAATGCCGATAGGAAGAGTCTAATGCAATTCTCTATGACGCTCAATAAGTTCGACGAAATTAATCGGGGAGCACGAGTGCAGGGCGATCCAAGTGACGGATCTTGAAAGTCGCGCGAAGTTCATATCCAAATTTTTGCACCCCATACAGCACAACTTCCAAAGAATGTTCTGAAGACGTCCGTATATCTTTGAAACATCCTAAGGCGATCCCAGGACGTCTCTCGGATAAAGTATGCCGTGTGGGAGTAAATTGTTGAATTTTTAAAGTCCGGAAAATGAGAATATGTACCGATGGAATGATATATGTATAATGCATTTCTTGATCCTCCGGTGATTGGATAGAGATGATCTGTCATTAAATTTAAGAAACAGAATGTTACGCTTTCTATCTCGTTAACGTATTTACACACTCGTACGATTTTTTCGGGATTCGTCACTTTTTGCTCCCTCGCATCCGGATTCCTAACTTCGTCCACGATATATCTGTAAGTACTTGGAGTGTGCATTGTATTTTATGTTGACCGAGAATGACGGGGTAGTGCCATCACGACGAAAGTATACTGCGCGACGTCACGCAAATATCAATGCAATCAAAAAGTTACAATTCTAGCTTCATTGACATATAACACCACCATTTAAAAAAAAAAAAACAATTTAGTGTATTTATTGTTCTCCTCGTGTATATTATATTTATTAATTATAATTTATTAATTGTCAAAATGTATGTGTGCCGAAAGTTAATTAGCTCATCGGTAGACATTTCTTATTGATCATTGTGTGACGTTGACAACTAAACGCGGTGTCCAGCAATGATGAGACTACGATCACGTCGTTTCCTTCAGGAAGTACCTAACGATAACGAAGTAATTAATATTAATAACTTATGGAATACTATATGACATCGAGTGATTTCGAGTATATACTCGCCGCGGACGCGCTCCGCGGCGAAAGATAGTCGAGAATATAATTCCGGGTGTGAATTATACGTCAGATTTCATAGAAACGAAAATATAAAAATATAGAAGGATTTAAAAAAAATTGTATACACGAATCCGACTGTTGCGCGTGTTACGATCAAGTCTATGCATATACGATAAGTACAATTACGTTATCATGTAATTATCGCGCCATTCCCTCGTGTTGGCGTGCACAATTTGTTTTATTTATCGTCCGATTTGCCTTTGTCGTGTATTCAATTTGAGTTCGTACAGAGCGACATTATAACAAGTGAGAGTATATGACGACGGAATGATATATAATACATTACTTGTTATAATAAAAGAATCATGTGTTACTAATGCATTTCTCGATTCTCCGACGATTGGCCTATACTAATCGAAATAATAATTCTCGCTTAAACCCGGCAATTATTGCCATCAGAAAAAAATCGAGCACTTAATACGACACTGTCGTAATAAGCGTTCGGTTCAATTTATCTGTCCACCTAAAACTACTTCACCTTTTCAACCTTTTTTTCTCTCTCGTTGTCTGTTATCCACTCCACCATATTTCGAATGTTTACTGTAACCACAGCTGACTTAAGACATTCAGACGTTGGTGGGCCAGAATTATTATACATATATGAGATTTAGAAATTACTGAATGTATACATTTAAAATTCAGAAGGGGACTATTTTTATTTATAATTTCTTTTTTTGTAAATAATAAAATAAAATTAAAGTTTCGGTGAGATGGTATTTAAAAAATTATTTACATTTTACAGGATAACGGATTATATTCAGCAATGGTTACTTAGCTCGAAAAAAAGAAACAAAAAAAAATTAATGAGTTCAAAATATGTGTATGAAAAAACATTTAGTATTTTAGTACAATAAAATGATAATAAAAGGCGCGTTTGTGGCCCACTTATTCAATGATTAAGACAGCTCTGCTCGTATAACCCTTATAATTTTTTGATATAACAAATCGAAAGGTTTACAAGGATTTTGAGGACCGTCTTGTACATCTCACCATCGTCATATTGTGTGTGGAGGCAAGATTTCGGAAAATAAAACACGTTACGTGATGCCGAAATTTTTTGACACAGCCCATCCACGGCGAATCTTTTTATTATCTACTATGGCTATACTGGTGTCCCCTATCTCCCTCCTTCGACCCTTCGAGATTTGTTGTTTGAAATTTTTGCATGCGTTCACTGGAAAAAAAAAACCGATGTGATAACTGTCGATGACCCGGAATGAGTCCTAAAATCGAGGATATTGAAAACATCCTTCGACACATCATGTGACCTCGACACCTACCCCCTTTTGCTAACTTCCTCCTGCCTGCTGGTGTGCCAAACTGTACAGTCATGGAGAGGGCGAACTTCGAGGGCGACTACGGACGCGCAAACATGGACATTACAGGTAATGTTGAATTTGTCAATTTTAAAACTAACTAAATTAACATTTAACTGTACACGACATTTAGTTGTACACAACACACACGCTGTTCACGAACTACATTCCACAAATAAGCAACTTAAAAGACGGCAATTTTTTTCTGTCGATGGAAAAGACTGCGGTCTTCTTTTTGTCATGTAATGTGTATAATTTGTTCATGTACATTCCAAAAAGAACTCAGGGGATTAACATTTAGCTGTGCAACACGACACACTACACGCCGTCCACGAGCTACATTCCGCAAACGAGCGATTTACGTGTAGCAGTTTCTTCCGTTTGTCGATGAAAGAAACTGCGGTCTCCTTTTTTTGTCAAGTAATGTGTATAATTTGTTCGTGCACATGTTCATATCTCCAAAAAGAACTCAGGGGATTGTGGAGCCTCGTCTGTTTTACAATGCGTGCGCGTATATTCTAACTATTTACATGAAATGGAATTATAAAAAAATCTTTACTTTTTAAAATATATCTCCCAAGGAACATACTTAAATCATATAAGAAAGTAAAGAAGTATTTTGACGCCATGAAAGTCAAAATGATGATTTTTGTTACAATATTTGGCTGTTTATTGACATAAGAATCAAAATAAGGTTATTTGTCGACTGTGTGTTCCTTGGAAATTTATTACAATTTATTATTATATGTCATATATATACATTTTATTTATTTGTCTACGATCTATATGTAAATACTTTCTTCAAGGATTTATCATAATATATTTGTTTATTTGTCTATACACACATAAATATATACATACACACACACACACACACACACACAATATATATATATACATATGCTTTTTTCATAATGTCCCAAATATTAATACTTAATCTTTTCTCTTGTAATTAAGTGCGTTGCTCACACTGCTGCGCTAACGCATCGCCATCGCCAAGGCTTGCAACGATTTAGCAGCTGCAGTAGAATTGGACGAAAGGCGCGTGGCTTGCCGTAGCTGAGCCAGCGAGGATGACTTGGCATGGTGAAATAATCGATGTTACCCCTCGTATGATTGCAGTGGCACCGTCGGTGGTTGCACCGAAATAAAGCTCGGGGAGACGTAGGGCGAATCTGAGAGACACCTAATCAGCCGCAGCCGAGAAATCGGCGATCCACAGCACACTACACTCTCGAGCTGCTCGAAGGGACTGGAGACGTCTTTACTAAACAGCCAAAAAAAAAAAAACTGAATATTTCCCGAG